CTGCACAAGGGGGCGTGACACCAATTTCCACAAAAATGACAATTTATCCATGTGGAAGCCCGTTTGTTTGACTGACCACAGACTACACAGGGCTTCATAATGATTTGAATGGTTGATTTACTGCAATTCTACTAGCAACCTCTTGAAAATTCTATTAATAACCTTAAATGAAGCTCTAGCTATTTGTATTTCTGTTTCTAACTCTTTTTGTATATTGGACAGCTTACCGTCACGTTCCTGATTTTTAATGTTTGTGTTTATAGGGCGCCTACAACCCCATCCGTTTACAGTCTGCTTTATTGTCCAACGAAACTGTTTGAAACCAGTCCCGGGTTCGGACCAGTCAAGGGTTCGGACCAGGCAAGGGTTCGGGCCAGACGATCTGCTCTGATCAGTGGGTCACTTATTTTAAAACATACTGGTCGGTGATTTGAGCTAACACATGAAGGATTACTGGAAATTATCTACCCGAGTAATATGTGATTTGACTGATACAAAAGTATAACTTGCGTGTTGAAGAGCCGGTGATATCTGGCAGCTCCTACAATGACGAACGGTCACCTCCTTGTTTATCAATCGCTGTATCTGGCTTTTCTCTTTTTTTTTTTTTTTTTTTTTATGTGGAGACAAAAAAAAAAAAAAAAAAAAAAAAGTAAATGTAAACGAAAAACAACTTATACATAGGGTTTACAAATATCCGCAGTTCTGGGCATCTGCGGCAGGTCTTAGAATGTATCACCCACGGATACAGGGGGACTACTGTATAGTATATTCATGGGAAGGTACCCTACAGGGAGACTACTGCATAGTATATTTATGGGGAAGTACTCTACAGAGGGACTACTATATAGTATACATGCATTCATGGAGAAGTACTCGTTTAGCCCATGAGGATCAAACACTGCCCAAGAAATTGGAGGTTATTAGGCATGATTAAAGGAAAAGAAATGCAGCTCTAATTTACTGGATCAAGAGCCCTTTACCTTGACGAGTGAAATGTGTATGCCATGTTCAGTTATGACTGTACACAATGAGAATAAAAATATACTTAACATATATTTGCAATACATAATATATCTAATGCAACCTATTAGAATAATAGTGAAGCTTAGCTTGCTATCATGTAAGAGAGATTATTTCAGGAAAGTGACTTTGTATACAGGGTCTTCTGGCAACAGAATTCTATTGCAGAATATAACAGGGACATCGATTCTACAGGAAATGTGCCCTTAAATAAGCCCCGCGGCCTGGCTGGAAAAGCTCTCGCTTCAAACGCTGAGGGCCCAGGTTTGATTCCCGGTGGGGTGGAAACATTTTGACATGTTCCCTTACACCTATTGTCCTGTTAACCTAGCAAGCAGGTACCTAGGTGTTAGTCGACTGGTGACAGTCGCATCCTGGGGGAAAAGATTGAGGACCCCAATGGAAATAAGACAGACAGTCCCTCGATGACACGCTGCCTTTCTTGGGTTACCCTGGGTGGCTAACCCTCAGGGGTTAAAAATCTGAACAAAATCTTATCTTATCTAACTAGTTATCTTGAAGATAAAGACACAAACTGAAAACATGCTGTTATTGTAGAAAATATAAACAGGACAGATTGGTTTAAAGAACAGGAAATTGTTAACCTGTTTCAAACAAATATTTTAACTAAGTAAACCACACTCAAATATTAAACTTGAATGATACTAATAAAATATATTAAGGGAACAGTAACGTATATGATACTGTTACACAGCAGCGTACAGGCAGGCCCCATACCATAAGCGAAAATCACCATCGGGTGGAAAGTGCCATTTTTCATTATCGAATGAAACTAAAACCCCTGATAATGTGTTTATGTTATATATTAAGTGCTCAATACAGTTAGGCATAAAAAAAACAGATAAAATATTAAATTGAATACATAGTACCTACAACACTAACCTTAAAATAAGAAGCTGGTCGCCCTTCCCTTCCACAACTGTCATACGAAAATGCCGATAATGGCAGAAGTGGTAAAAGCACCAAATAACCAGAAATAACAGTTTTAAATTAGATAAGTTTAGATTTAGAAAGAACATAGGTAAGTACTGGCTTTCAAACAGAGTTGTCAGTGCATGGAACAGTCTTCCAAACAGGGTAAATAAAGGCTAAGACCTTGGGTAGCTTTAAAAAGAGATTGGACAAATATGAGTGAAAAGGGCTGGGTTGGACTTGTACCCAAGATACTGAAGCAAATTCATGAGTAGTTTTGGGAAAAGGCTGGACACATGCATGGGTGGGAATGGGTGGTGCTGATAAGGACCTGACTTGTATATAGTCCTGCTGAAGTGTTCCTCCATTCTTATGTTCATAAAATCAAGTTCCAAAATAGTTTCATCTTATGTTGGCATGCTGATAAACTGGGGTAGGAAGCTATTTCGCATTGTCTTAATTATTAATTTACATCATGTAAATCCTCAGAATATGGTCATGTCCAATGAACAACATGGCATTATTTCACATTTACTTATCAAATTTGTATAAAATTTCTGAATGTTGGGTCTGTGGCCACTTAACTGCCTTAAATTTCTGGCAGGCTGTGACCTGGAATGATCACTCAAGGCATGTGTGTGTGTACTGTAATCAACAACACCAAACTAGCTAAAACCAATCATTGCTCAAGAAAAATATCTGCCATAAGAACTACATTACATTTTTTTTTTTAAGCAAGAATACCCCTCCTCCATAATCCTCTACAAACAACTTCAGGTAAACAAAATAAATATACATACTGAACATACATGGCAGTCATACATGCATACTGCTCTATATACTAAATCTTGACTAATCCTTCTTGTTAATCAGATGCATTGTTTGTATAAGGCATCTGACTGAAGATGCACTGTTTGTACAAAATTGGATGACATTACATCTCTCACATGGAAAGTCCTTTAGTTATGCAGAACATTTCGGGTAAGCTTAAACCTAAGTAGATTACGTGAATATTAAACAAATATATACAAAGCAGATAACACCATAAACAGTTACATGGGAATAAGATCACTTAGATAATACTTTATTAAGATTATTCTGTTAATTCAAAATAAAATTTCTTAGAGTTGTAATGGAACACACCTGCAAGAACAAATACCTCTTTAAAACCCCACAAGAACCACTTAATCTAAGAAAAGAATCCATCTAACAACAACCTCAGAAGATGAAAAGTTGCAAAACAATAACCAAATTCAAAAGAAATATTCAAGAATAATGTCTGAACATAATGATACCAGTGACTGGTGATTCTTCCAGTTATACAGCCTTGCATGTGGTCATTTCCTAGTGATAGTATGATCAACCACTCTATTGGTATATGCAGATTGTTCAAGTAAAGTATACTGCATTGAGCCATTACCAATACAGTTACATGGCTGATCACTGTTTTAAGAGCTTTCAAGAAAACAAGGATTCATTCATAATATAAAATACTACTACATGTATATGTTGGTGTGTTTATGTATACCTCTACTCTTAATACCACTAATTCTATGGACAATCTGGATATTTTAATCTTCTGCAATTAGTTCTCATTTTCCGACTGCTGTCTAGTACTAAATCAGCATGGAAAACTACTGGTAGAATGGTCAACTTGACTTTTAAACCTTTTTTTTAAAGCCCTGAAATGCTTACATTGTCTACCATCCTCAATGGGCAGTCCCACCTTTAATCCAATTTCTCTATATGAATTTTGAGCTAAAACTGATCTACTGCACCATGTTTTTAGCAGTTCCTTGAAACTACAAACTGCAAATAATACAAAATTAAGTCTACAATACATTTTTTCACTTTTTTTTTTTGTTTTTTTGAACTATACTTTTGTAATATATCACTTCAATATGGTTATTATTGAGCTTGAGGTGTGCCAAAGTATCAGTATTGGTTGGTGTTAGCTAAATGTGGTGGTATCATTACTGGTATCAGCCTAAAACTGAGTATTGTTACTGGTACTGGCAAAATTTTTGGTATCGTCCCATTACTATTATCGACAGAAAAAAAGAAATTTGAGTGTTGGAAAGTCAATTAGCCAGATAAACATTAGATAATTTAATCAGTTCACTGGTGTCCCTTCACTGAAAACCCACAAATAAGGAAACTCACAAATTTGTAAGGATGACTGCACAGAATTTACTTTAATTTCTTTGTTTTTGAACCTTGGCTTAATTTTCTGGCTTGTGATGTGACATGTTTGAAAATATTAAATAGTTTATGAGAAGTAAAAAGAGAGATCTGGTTGGAAAATATATGATAGCTTGGAAAAATCCATAATTTGGAATATTCTTTGACCCAAAATTTTTGGACTGACAAAATATGACCAGTTCTTTTCTTGTGGTTAACAGAAATAAAAAAGTTATCCAAACTATTAGTTCATTGTTTAAGAGAAAACTGAAAATTTTTATATGATAAAACAAATGGAAAGATTTTGTTAAAAACTCCCATAGAAGCAAAAGGATTACATACAAATTCCTGAAATATATAATTAAAGCTATAAGTTAATTATGTACTGAAATATTTACAAAAATCTAAAAAACTTCAATTGGAGCTCTACAAATGAGCTTTGCTGAGCCCAAAACAATATTTAATGGTTTTAAATAATAACTGGAAATAAATTTAAATATCAATGATATTCTAAAATCTGTAATTCTGTCCAATGAAATGTTTCTAAAACTTCTGATAAAGAAAGAATTATATCAATATAAAAATAATGTTGAGTACACATTTTAGTAGACAATGAACATCACAAGATTTTGATACAGTACATAGTACAAGCATATAACAGAGGCATGTCAAAATACAGGAGATACAAGCAATTTAAGTGAACCACTACTACTGTGATTAAACAACCAGGCACCATCAGACTGACAAGCAAAATAAATTAGCCAGCTCCAGCACCTTTAAAAGCACAAAAAAAAGAGAACTGATAAAGCAGATGAGCCCACCGCAGCAGCAGCAGCATGAATATACAGCCAGCTGTAACTTACGAAACAAGGAGCGGCTGAGTCTACGCTGTGAAGATGCGACTGCTGCAGCTTCAGAACCAACATGGCCATTTTGCACTACAATTATTTGTTTAATATTGATCTCTTTGAGAAATGTGCTGTATTTTACGTATTTTATAATTAGAAATTAAAACATTAATATAAGACAACATTAGAACCAGTGCACCTCAGCCAGAAGCAAATAAAATATTGTATTAAAAACTTTAATGTATGTTTAGGAAGAAATCAAAATACATGTATACATGAATTAAAATAAAGAAAGCATTAGATGGAGAATACTTAGTGATAGAAAACTACAACATTCATTTAAGTGTTTCTACATTCAGAAAATAATTAATAAAACATTATGTACTTACCAAATATGTCACTAAACAAGCTGGATGTCTGCTGTGCAAAATCATTAAGCTCAGAGCTAACATTTGAGAGAAAATCTCGTGAAGTGGATGATGTCATTGTAGGAGAGCGAGCCTCAGAACTACTGACAGTACTCTGGCGACGCGTGCCAATGCTCATACCAACACTGCCTTCACTCCCGTCTCCTACGGCAACACCTGCACAGCTGCTGCTGTCTGTACCACCAATACTGGTACCTAAGAACAAACAGTTAGGAGACTTAAAATAAAAGGTAGAGAAAACACTGAATAAAGCTTAGCAACACTTTCTACATTGTGCAAGATAATATTTCAGTACAAATGTAAGCCAGAATGTTTCAGATAATTTCTCTTCCAAATACAGTCTTTCTTTCCTTCATATGCCATAGTGTCTGCCTCTTCCAAATATTATTCTGTCTCTCTTCCAAATATCATAGTCTATGTCTCTTCCAAATATCATAATCTCTATCTCTTCCATATATCATAGTCTCTGTCTCTTCCAAATATCATAGTCTCTGTCTCTTCCAAATATCATAGTCTCTGTCTCTTCTAAATATCACAGTCTCTGTCTCTTACAAATATCACAACAATTATCTTCATAAATATAATATCAGCCTGCATACTTCTAACATCCATAATACACTAATATTATACTTACATAAAAATTATATGTGCAATACATCCAATCATCACACCTTACTCCATTTACTCTCAGCTACATTACCTACCACATTTCCCAGCATATAAGGCACACGATCAAATGAGACATATAAGACAATGTTTCCAAGCAGTTGTAATGTAAAGCTAGTAAACAACTGCTAAAGTCTACCCTTGACCCTGACCTTAAGCATTAAGGTGCATGGTGACTTATCCAAGACTTTTTGTGGGGAAAAAAAAGAGTGCCTTATATGTATATGTATATAGGAGATGATTTCCTCTATTCTGTTTATTACAATATACATTTAAAAATATACTAAAATTGTTATAAATGGTGTAAAGGTGACATTAAAACAATATCTAAAGATGGTTGACACAAACCCACCACCAGTTCAGTATGCTCCTTGCTTAACGACCAATTTGTTTACCAACATGGTCTTAGAAACAGAACCCCATTGTTAAGGGAGGAGAGGTGTATTGTATAACGATGAGCACTATATTAGTGGAGGACTGAGTTACTGAGACTAGTACTGAGGTCTTGGGAGTAACAGCATAGATGACATAAATGACTAGCCACTACACCTTGGCGACAAATTGTGCAGAAATGGAAATCAAAACTAAATGAACTTAATACATAGAGCAAAATGAGAAGTACATTTGTATCTTTGTTTCTAAATATCATGTAATAAGTAGTGCCAATATTAAGAGTGAATCTACTCACAGTCATCCAAGTAGATATCATTGGATTTTACCTTTTTGTTTTTAACAAGTCGGCCGTCTCCCACTGAGGCAGGGTGACCCAAAAAGAAAGAAAATCCCCAAAAAGAAAATACTTTCATCATCATTCAACACTTTCACCTCACTCACACATAATCACTGTTTTTGCAGAGGTGCTCAGAATACAACAGTTTAGAAGCATATATGTATAAAGATACACAACATATCCCTCCAAACTGCCAATATCCCAAACCCCTCCTTTAAAGTGCAGGCATTGTACTTCCCATTTCCAGGACTCAAGTCCGGCTATATAAAAATAACCGATCTCCCTGAATCCCTTCACTAAATATTTCCCTGCTCACACTCTAACAGCTCGTCAGGTCCCAAATACCATTCGTCTCCATTCACCCCTATCTAACATGCTCACGCACGCTTGCTGGAAGTCCAAGCCCCTCGCCCACAAAACCTCATTTACCCCCTCCCTCCAACTTTTTCAAGGACGACCCCTACCCCGCCTTCCTTCCCTTATGCTTTCTATGTCATTCTACTTTGATCCATTCTCTCTAAATGACCAAACCACCTCAACATTGGATTATCCTAGGTAATTTACACATATGTTACTACCTGGAGAGGGTTTCGGGGATCAATGACCCTGTGAACCGGTCTGTGACCAGGCCTCCTGGTGGATCAAGTCCTGATCAAATTATGATACTACATATCATAATTTGTGTAGCTGTATTTATGTGTACCTGTACCCAAATAAACTTACTATGAGCTAATCATTTACAGTGTTACTAATGGAAACCAAATCTGAATGCAATACCTTTGATATAGCTTTGAAGAGTTTTGAGAGTTTCACTACTCTTGGAGCCCAGCCATGGGCCAGGCTCGTCTGGTGCTTGCCTGGTCAACCAGGCTGTTGCTGCTAGAGGCCCGTTGCCCCCATACCCATCACAGCCTGGTTGATCTGGCACCTGGTGAAGATACTTGTCCAGTTTCCTCTTGAAGGCTTCTACTCTTGTTCCAGCCGTGTTTCTGATATCTTCTGGTAAGATGCTAAATAGTCTGGGACCCCAGATGTTGATACAGCATTCCCTTATTGTCCCCACCACATCCCTTCTCCTCACTGGGTTTATTTTGCATTTCCTATCATATCTCTCACTCTAGTATGTTGTTATGGCAGTGTGCAGATTTGGGACCAGGCCCTCAAGTACTTTCCAGATATATATTATTATGTATCTCTCTCTCCTCTGGTCCAACATCTCCCTCTGCATGGCCGACGCATAGGGCGTGTGGCGGGCTAGCTGTGGGATTTTCAAGGATAGCTCCTGATCAAAGAGGCTGACCAGGTCACGACTGAACAGGACTCAGTGTGAATGCTTTAGGAAAATTCCAGAGCAGCAAGAGGACATCCCAGTACATTGTTTCAGTGTAAATAGTGGAAGTGTTGTACAGTTTGTGAGGGTTGGGTGTAGTGTTGAGAGTGTCCAGGTGGGACCAGTCAATGCCTCCTCCCCCATGCCACCAGAGGGCAGGGGGGGCAGGAGGTGTGGGTGAAGATGAAGGGAACACTGGTTTTGGGGAGTTACATGCCCATATCTTTCATGATGTACATGGGAAACAAATAAATGTTGTGTTTGTTGCAGGACAGTGTGAACAACAGTACTCAATCTGTGCAGGGAAGTGCCCCTCACCCCCCTTCCCCGGGCTTGCCCCGTGTGTAGTAAACAGTGACCCTCTCATAACCCCTCACCCCTGTGCCTCAACCATACAATTCCCCCACCTCACCCACTCAACTCTTAGCACCACCCCAACTGTAGAGGGTACTCCCCCCCCCCAGCCCACAATGTCAGCGATACCACAGGATGTGCTGGGCTCACAGGAACTTCCACTGTAGGGACAGTGCCTTGGAGCTCGACCGCGAGGCAGCTGTCAAGTGTGCCACAGACAGTGTGCACTCAGTTCCTCAAGCTTCAACATCCGTGCACACGGTGGATGTCTGGGCACCCGGAGGGCTCCAGGTGGGAAGAACCAACAGCCCCACCCAGCAGACAGAGGTGACAGCTGCTGCACCTTCACCTTTACAGAGGGCCTGGGATCTGCAAGCAAATTGGCGTCCACCAGGACGCAGACACATCCCAAGACCACCTCTCCTCGGGCTGCTAGCAGAGTCGCTGACCTCTTGGACCTCTTGGGGAGGGTCGATGGTGCTCCTGCAAGCAGAAGATCCTGGCGCAACCTGCTGCTGTTTGCAATGGCTGTCTGGCTGTCCTGCTGACAGGGACAGGCACCTAGCAACATCTGTTGTTGGGGCAATGATGCAGTCCCTAGAATGTTTGTTAATTGCTCATTACTCTGTAATTTGTTCATGATTGTAACCATGTATAGACGTGTTTATGATTCATTACCATTGTAACTTGTCATGATTGTGACCAGCTCTACCTGGAGCTCATTACCTTTGTAACTTGTCATGATTGTGACCAGATCTAGTTCATTACCTTTGAAACTTGCCATGAGTGTGACCAGCTCTACCTGGAGCTCATTACCTTTGTAACTTGGTCATGATTGTGACCAGATCTAGTTCAGATCTCAAAACTTTGGAGTCCAGTCCCTGGACCAATTATGTACCTTTGAAATCTTTTGATTACCGCCCACAGGATGGGTATGGGGTGTATAATAAAGATATTAAACTCAACTCCGCTCCAATGAGTACATGTTCAAGACTTAAAGGTGTTCCCAGTAATGTAGGTGCTTTACTGGCTCAATGTGAGCTGTAAACAATCTCTGTATTTGTTCCAGCTCTGATATTTTTCATGCTTTGAACGGGGCCATACATGAGAAGCACTGGTAAGGTCACTGATGTAAATTAGGAAAAGCAGAGAAACAAAAACCTGAGTAATAAATGTCCTGATGTAATGGAGAATTAATTATTGCAATAATTAAAACCTATTACAACTTTCATACCTTTGCAAATCAAATATTAGAAAGACTAAGGGTTACTAACTTGAGGAAGTGGCGGCAGACAGTCTCCCTGGTGAGGCGTCATGTCTACTAGTTTGTGCATGGGCAGGACTCATCTGTGGCTGGATGGGTAACTGTGCAGGGATGGATGGCTGACTCTGGAGAGATGGTTTGGGTGATCTTGGAGGGGGTGGGGGAGGCAATCCTCGCAGGTGTGTAGGCGGGGATGAAGAAGGCACACTAGTGGGAGGTGTTCTATGAGGGATAGGTGGTGGAGCTCCCAAACCACCTCCAGTTAGTCCTGTTCCTCCTATTCCTCCTCCTCCTACTCCTCCTGCTCCTCCTGCTTCCTATTCCTCCTCCTCCTTTATCTACTCCTCCTACTCTACCACCTATCCCTCCTGCTCCAATCATCATACCTCCTCCTCCTCCACCACCAACTTCTGCTGTAGCACCACTGCCAACACTGCTGCTGATGGCTGGACCAACTCCACTTAACTTCCCATCCAAAGAAGATTCTCGAAGCTCCAGGGCCTGACAAGGGAGGTAAATAAATAGAAACTATCCAGAGCCAAAATTGTAAATATCAAATGGCATTTTAAAATCATAATATATATGTATTCATTTGAGGAATTAGAAACAAACATCAACCTCCTCCTAAAAAAATTGAAAAAATGAGTTCACTCTGCATAATAAGGAAGAAAAATAAATAAAAATTTCCGTATAAAAGTAATTTTCCTAACAGAGTTGCTGAAAACTCAACATTTTGTACATTGACAGGTAGAGCAAAAAGTAAGTCTTTGAACTTGAATTATAGATTTCACCAATGCAACAGGCTTCTTCACTTGAATCCAGAGGTAATTTATGTGAAGCTGTTTGCAGGGACATCTCAAGTGCCGTATCTATGCACATCTAGCATGAGAGTGATAGTCTGAATTATGGTGAAAATTTCTTTTCCCGGTTACCTTACCTCAGTGGGAGATTGATGATGTGTTAAAAAACACATCTATATCTATATATATATATATATATTTTTAACACATCAGCCATTTCCCACCGAGGCAGAGTGACCCAAAAAGAAAGAAAATCACTCAACACTTTCACCATCACTCATACATAATCACTGTCTTTCCAGAGGCACACAGATACCACAGTTTAGATGTCACTCCAAACAGCCAATATCCCAAGCACTTCCTTTAAAGTGCAGGCACTGTACTTCCCACCTCCAGGATTTAAGTCCAGTTAACCAGTTTCCCTGAATTCCTTCACAAAATATTATCCTGCTCACACTCCAGCAGCTCATCAGGTCCCAAAAACATTCTGTCTCCACTCACTCCTATCTAACACACTCACACATGCCTGCTGCATGTCCAAGCCCCTTGCACACAAAACCTCTTTTACCCCCTCCTCCATCCTTTCCTAGGATGACCCCTACCCCTCCTCCCCTCCACTACAGATTTATACACCCTCCAAGTCATCCTGTTTTGCTCCATTCTCTCTAAATACCAAATCACCTCAATAGTCCCTCTTCACCCCTCTTGACTAATACTTTTAGTAACTCTATAGCTACTCCTAATTTCCACACTACGAATTCTCTGCATAATATTTACACCACACATTGCCCTTAGACACAACATCTCCACTGTTTCCAGCCTCCTTCTCGCTGCAGCACTTACAGTCCATGCTTCACACTAATATGAGTGTTGGTACCACTATACTCTCATACATTCCCTTCTTTGCCTCCATGGATAATTGTTCATTGGTTTGAAAGGTTCAAAAAGTGGTGGCACCTTGTATAATTAAGTGTTTAGTGGTGGGGCAGCAAGTGCCAATGCTAATGTTACTGCCACATACCCCAAAGTCCTGGAAAAATTATAGAGGAACATAGCTAAACATCTCAGAAATTATATAAAGTGGCTGAAACTGTACACTACGTTAAGAATATGCTATTAGGAGCATTCATCTAGAAGAGATGAAATCTTTCCCTTTTCTCCCATTAACTCTAATTCATTCGTTCATTCATTTTCTTAATTAAGTCTTACCTAGGTACCTTTTTTATCCACCTTCTTACCCAACTTCCTTTCATTTATCCCTTCTGTTACCTAATGTGCTGATGGTAGCTTTAAAGTACGTCACCATGTTTTTACATCAGTATACCTCTACATCACTATATCTCTACATCACTATATCTCTACATCACTATACCTCTACATCACTATATCTCTACATCACTATATCTCTACATCACTATATCTCTACATCACTATATCTCTACATCACTATATCTCTACATCACTATACTTCTACATCACTATATCTCTACATCACTATATCTCTACATCACTATATCTCTACATCATATACTCTACATACAACCTCACCTATATCTACATCACTATATCTCTACATCACTATACTCTACATCACTATATCTCTACATCACTATATCTCTACATCACTATATCTCTACATCACTATATCTCTACATCACTATATCTCTACATCACTATATCTCTACATCACTATATCTCTACATCACTATATCTCTACATCACTATACCTCTACATCACTATATCTCTACATCCAACTATACTACTCTACATACAATCTCTACCTATCATCACTATATCTACATCACTATATCTCTACATCACTATATCTCTACATCACTATACTCTACATCACTATACATCTCTACATCAAACTAAAAATCTCTACATCACTATATCTCTACATCACTATATCTCTACATCACTATATCTCTACATCACTATATTTCTACATCACTATATCTCTACATCACTATATCTCTACATCACTATATCTCTACATCACTATATCTCTACATCACTATATCTCTACATCACTATATCTCTACATCACTATACTCTACATCTATACTTACATCACTATATCACATACTATTCTTACATCACTATATCTACATCACTATACTCTACTTACATATACTTATCTACATCCATACTATAATCACTATATCTCTACATCACTATATCTCTACATCACTATATCTCTACATCACTATATTCTACATCCTATACTTACATCACTATATCTCTACATCACTATATTCTACATCACTATATCTCTACATCACTATATCTTCTAACATCCACTATACTTATACATCACTATATCTCTACATCACTATATTCATCACTATACTACATCACTATATCTCTACATCACTATACTTCTACATCCCTATACTTACTACATCACTATATCTCTAATACTCTACATCACTATATCACTACATCACTACTCTACATCACTATACTCTACATCACTATACTATCTACCTAATCACTATATCTCTATACATCACTATATCTCTACATCACTATATTCTAATCACTTACTCTACATCACTATACTCTACATCACTATACTCTACATCACTTATTCTCTACATCACTATATCTCTACATCACTTTACACCTTACTACATCACTATCTCTACATCACTATATTACTCTACACTCACTATACTATATCTCTACATCACTATATCTCTACATCACTATATTCTACATCACTATATCTTAATCACATATTTACATCTATACTCTACATCACTATATTCTACATCACTATATCTACATCACTATACTCTACATCTATATTTACATCACTATATCTCTACATCACTATATTCTACATCCCTATACTTATACATCACTATATCTCTACATCACTATACTTATACATCACTATATCTCTACATCACTATATCTCTACATCACTATACTTATACATCACTATATCTCTACATCACTATATATCTACATCACTATACTTATACATCACTATATCTCTACATCACTATATCTCTACATCACTATATCTCTACATCACTATACTTCTACATCCCTATACTTATACATCACTATATCTCTACATCACTATATATCTACATCACTATACTCTACATCACTATATCTCTACATCACTATATCTCTACATCACTATATCTCTACATCACTATATACTCTACATCACTATATACTCTATTACATCACTATATCTCTACATCACTATACTTATACATCACTATACTATCATCACTATATCACATCACTATCTCTACATCACTATATCTCTACATCACTATACTTCTACATCCCTATACTTATACATCACTATATCTCTACATCACTATATATCTACATCACTATACCTCTACATCACTATACTTCTACATCACTATATCTCTACATCACTATATCTCTACATCACTATATCTCTACATCACTATATCTCTACATCACTATATCTCTACATCACTATATCTCTACATCACTATACTTCTACATCACTATATCTCTACATCACTATATCTCTACATCACTATATCTCTAACTAATTCAACAACTATACTCTACATCACTATACTCTAACATCACTATATCTCTACATCACTATATCTCTACATCACTATATACTCTACATCACTATATCTCTACATCACTATATCTTTCTACTCTACATCACTATATCTCTACATCACTATACTTCTACATCCTATACTTACATCACTATATCTCTACATCACTATATTCTACATCACTATACTCTACATCACTATATCTCTACATCACTATATCTCTACATCACTATATCTCTACATCACTATATCTCTACATCACTATATCTCTACATCACTATACTTCTACATCACTATATCTCTACATCACTATACTCTAAAATCACTATATCTCTACATCACTATACTCTACATCACTATATCTTACATCACTATATTCTACATCACTATATCTCTACATCACTATATCTCTACATCACTATATTTACATCACTATACTCTACATCACTATATATCTACATCACTATACTCTACATCACTATATCTCTACATCACTATATCTCTACATCACTATATCTCTACATCACTATACTCTACTAATACTATTATTCTCTACATCACTATACTCTACATCACTATATCTCTATATCACTATATCTCTACATCACTATATCTCTACATCACTATATCTCTACATCACTATACCTTCTACATCACTATATCTACATATTACATCACTATATCTCTACATCACTATATCTCTACATCACAATCTAAACACTATATCCTACAACACTATATTCTCTATATCACTATATCTCTCATCATATAATCTCTACATCACTATATCTCTACATCTATTCTATACTTAAAACTTATCCTATATCGTTACTCACTATATTCTACATCACTATATCTCACAAAATCACTATATTTACATCACATATCACATCACTAATCTACATCACTATATCTCTACATCACTATATCTCTACATCACTATATCTCTACATCACTATACTTATACATCACTATATCTCTACATCACTATATCTCTACATCACTATACCTCTACATCACTATATCTCTACATCACTATATCTCTACATCACTGCTTCTACAGTCTCATCAACAGACTCATCTTTGCTGAGTATAGTACTTTTTTTTTTTAAATTCTACATTTCTTTAGTCTCCAACTTAATTTCTACACTGTATAATGTTACGTTGATGTGTTACTGTCCCACTCTGCATCTGCTGTCATAACATGGGCTCTTGTGAGAAAATCACTTTCATTTAACATGGAAAAAATGGGAAATATAAATGGAAAATCATTGTCCCAGTCTGAATCTCGAGTTATAACACAGAATCATATTGGAAAATTAGATTTCCCGATTGTATTTTTCACCAAATGAACCATTCTAAGAGTCCCTCTCTCTCGATTGTAAGTGAGGGGTTTACCGTATTAGATAAATTTATAGCCCCATGGGTAACTGCTTAACAGGCAAATCTACAGCCAGAAGGGAAACTATTTACTAATTATATCTATGGTCACATGGGTGAGTGCTTGCCAGGTAGATCTATGGCTATGAGAGGAAGTGTTTATTAGGGAAGCTGATACAAACAAGGTATATAATTTATAAAAAGACACTTATGCAATGTGATGTAACTATTGTTCCCCAAAGGTATTGCCTCACATTCCATATGTGTCACTTTTATACACATGGGGAAGTGTTTAGACGGTAGATCCATGGCCACATGGGTAAATCTAAAACTATGTGGGGTACTGTTTAGTGTAAATCTACGCCCACATGATGAGTTGTTTACACTATAGATCTATGGCATGTATTACAAAGAAACATAATAAACAAACTACAAAAACTGATCAGAGAGGGGGTGGTAAAGTCTCCACAGGCAACTGATAAAAAATTAATAACATACCACACACATGCACAAACAGTACACTTTTGTTTTATGTGAGTTTGCTATTTGCAAATTCACTTTTATGCAATAACTCCCAATATGCCATATAAATTCATCCTATGCAATAACTGGTAGTCACAAAACATGATAAAAATTCATATATTGAAGAATTAAGTGTTGCTGACCCATTAGAGATTACTACAGCTGCTGTGGGCTTGGAATGTAACTACTACATAAAGCGATGGATATTTGTAAGTACAATGCCTTCTAAACTAGTTATTTCTATGTGCTCTTGTTTTCTAGTGGTTAGCAGTTTTGCTCTAGACACATTAACTATAAAGACTACTATACAGGAAGTAATACTACTATGCTGTACCTTGTATACAGTATAAAGAACTGCTAGGTTGACAACACATTTACAGATATATAAATGTTTTACACAATTTTATGTATGATATAAAAGTCTATTGTATTTTATAAAATCTACAGTGGCAGTAAATGCTGGCTATCACTAGCCAGCACAGTCTTGCTTTTGACATTACCAAACATGATGGATTTTACCATAGTAACGTTACTGAAGAAACTGTCTGATGCTGACTAGTCTTAGTACAGTATTTTGTATGGTAAGAGAGGAGAAGAGGGGGGTATAACCTACACGTTGATCATACTTCATCAGTACTGCATGCCTAAAGAGTTCTTATAAAATTTAAGTACTGTATCTAAGCATTACTGATGTTGCAGCTATGTCACAGCCAGCCCATGCCTCGAGTAAGAGTGAGGGAACGTCCCACAGAGTCCTGTTTTAGTGGTTGTCCCTCTCACCTTGAGGCTGACCTTGGAGAAAATGCTACCCTTCTTGGCTGCCTCTCGTGCTGTTTTGGATATGTCACCAAAAGTATGTTTACCCATGAAGGAGAGATCTTCAAATGTTGACTTGCTGGCCTGCAGGTTAAAATAAACATTATTAGCTACACGTAAAAGAATAACCTACAGAAACGTGTGCATGTTATTGCCAGGATGTGAAGTGTCTTGCAATAAAAGACCCTTCAAGAGCTCTTAATCCACAGAATTGACGCTATCTGCCTTTTTTGTAAAACTTAATTGCTTCCCATTTCCCAGGTGATGTATAGTGAATACTTCAAGACAATGGACTAAAATAATCAATTGAAACTCAAATAACAGAAGAAAACAATTTGTTTTTAAAGATATTACATAATCACACAAATAATCAGTGGGAATAATCAGAGTTTACCGATGCTATTACACATTTATTACAAAAGGTTAATAAAATTAGGTTTGTAGATGCTGACATTTAAGAATGTCAATTAGCTTCAAGCAAGCCTTCACTTGGGTCTGTTGCCCACTCACCAACAAGCTCAGAACGTGTTTTGTCATTATTTACTGTATTGATATGGATTATGTTCTAATAGTAGGCTTGACTTTAATTTCAACATGCAGCAATATCAAGAAAGTGGTCCATACAATTTAGAATGTGTTTTCATCATCAAGTGAACCATATTAATCCTCTCCACAATACTGTTCCTTCCTCAGATAGGTGCTAAATTCAGCCTAGCTGATCACAGTCTTTGGATCCATCAGAGAAGATCTGACTTGAGGTTCAAATTTAAAAATTCCTCTCCACCACTTGTAGTACTCATAGAGAATGCAGTCTATACAGGAAGTGTAACTTTCTTGGTTTCTGTCCTGTCCTACCACTTGATAGTAGGATTGATGAACAATCATAATCTTTATTTCAGCATGATACAATGTTTGTACAGAGATGGGTGACATTTAGGTGTGTATGCAGAAAGTCCATTGTTATGCAGACTCGTGGCTCATGGCCTGGTAGGCAAAGCTCTCGCATCACACGCTGAGGGTCTGGGTTCGATTCCCGGCAAGGGTGGAAACATTATGCGTGTTTCCTTACACCTGTTGTCCACGTTCACCAATCAGTAAAATGGGTACCTGGGTGTTAGTCAACTGGTATGAATCGCATCCTGGGGATAAAAGTGACCTAATTTGTCCAAAATGCTCTGCACAACAAAGGGCATTTCATATAGTGGCATGTCATTGATGTCAGCTAAGCCTGTACATGTACTTGTAGAAATAAAGATATCATTATTATTATATTAACATTTCGAGCACATTTAAGCTATCTTAAGACTAAAACAGCAATAAATAATAGACTGCTTATAAATATGGTCTCTAAGGGTCATGAACAATAAATTTAGGGATTACAAGGAACACAAGGGACTACTTAGCATATTAATTAATACATTTATCAAATTTAATTGTTGTAAGGATTACAGAATTATTCAGCTTTCCAAAAGGACGAAGTAATTTTACTTCCTTATTCATTCCATGAAGCTCCGCATTGCAGGTCAAATTAAGTAAAACTATCCCCTTTCCAAAAATACTCTGATGATGGATACCTATATTAATTCTAATCAAAATGTACCCTTAATTGTTTTTCGTTTTGGGTTAAAAGGTCTCCGACTTTTTTAATGAAAGTTATATTACAAAGTACACAGTGTAGAATTAGTCTGCCTGAAATGCTCTGCATAATAATGGGCTTTCATAAGAATATGTAACAAAATGTTTTCCTAAAACCAAAGCCAACCTGTAATTATATAAATAGCAAAATACAGGTCTCCCTCAACATTCGCGAGGGTTAGGGGATCAAGAGCCTCGCGAATGTTGAAAAACCGTGAATGTTTGGTGCCCCAATATATTGTAGGGAAATATATTACAATACTGCTTCCTTAACTTGTTGAACCATGAACAATCATAAAATACATGAAAACGTCGTAAATTGTACTAAATATATACATGTTATGCTTTAATAACGTATGTTATTTAATAACGTATGTTATTTAATAACATGTATGTTAATAACATGTATGTTATTAAATACCACTGCCTCCACCATTGCCTCCACCACTGCAAGTCCCTACTACCCTCCCTCCGACCCCCGCAACTGGCAGCCAGCCCTCCCACCACTCAGTGTGGTGAGTGTTTTGTTTGTTCATTATTTGCTATTAAACTACAGAATAAATAATGTAAACCCATTCACGACTGCATATTGGAATGGCTATTAGGAAAGGTATTAGACAATGATATCATGTGTTTACTCTTGAACACAGCAAAGAATCGAACATTTCTGCTATTGCTAATAATAACAATAGTAATAATAATAATAATAATAATAATAATAATAATAGGTCAGGGGTTTCAAATAGAGTTAGAGCTAAAGAAGGAGTAGCAATAATGTTGAAGGATAAGCTATGGCAGGAAAAGATGGACTACAAATGTATAAATTCAAGGATTATGTGGAGTAAAATAAAGATTGGATGTGAAAAGTGGGTTATAGTAAGCGTGTATGCACCTGGAGAAGAGAGAAGTGTAGAGGAGAGAGAGAGATTCTGGGAAATGTTGAGTGAATGCGTGGGGAGTTTTTGAATCAAGTGTGAGAGTAATGGTGGTTGGGGATTTCAATGCTAAAGTGGGTAAAAATGTTATGGAGGGAGTAGTAGGTAATTTTGGGGTGCCAGGGGTAAATGTAAATAGGGAGCCTTTAATTGAGCTATGTGTAAAAAGAAATTTGGTAATAAGTAATACATATTTTATGAAAAAGAGGATAAATAAATATACAAGGTATGATGTAGCACATAATGAAAGTAGTTTGTTAGATTATGTATTGGTGGATAAAAGGTTGATAGGTAGGCTCCAGGATGTACATGTTTATAGAGGGGCAACTGATATATCGGATCATTATTTAGTTGTAGCTACAGTTAGAGTAAGAGGTAGATGGGAAAAGAGGAAGGTGGCAACAACAAGTAAGAGGGAGGTGAAAGTGTATAAACTAAGGGAGGAGGAAGTTCGGGCGAGATATAAGCGACTATTGGCAGAAAGGTGGGCTAGTGCAAAGATGAGTAGTGGGGGGGTTGAAGAGGGTTGGAATAGTTTTAAAAATGCAGTATTAGAATGTGGGGCAGAAGTTTGTGGTTATAGGAGGGTGGGGGCAGGAGGAAAGAGGAGTGATTGGTGGAATGATGAAGTAAAGGGTGTGATAAAAGAGAAAAAGGTAGCTTACGAGAGGTTTTTACAAAGCAGAAGTGTTATAAGAAGAGCAGAGTATATGGAGAGTAAAAGAAAGGTGAAGAGAGTGGTGAGAGAGTGCAAAAGGAGAGCAGATGAAAGAGTGGGAGAGGCACTGTCAAGAAATTTTTATGAAAATAAGAAAAAATTTTGGAGTGAGTTAAACAAGTTAAGAAAGCCTAGGGAAAGTATGGATTTGTCAGTTAAAAACAGAGTAGGGGAGTTAGTAGATGGGGAGAGGGAGGTATTAGGTAGATGGCGAGAATATTTTGAGGAACTTTTAAATGTTAAGGAAGAAAGGGAGGCGGTAATTTCATGCACTGGCCAGGGGGGTATACCATCTTTTAGGAGTGAAGAAGAGCAGAATGTAAGTGTGGTGGAGGTACGTGAGGCATTACGTAGAATGAAAGGGGGTTAAAGCAGCTGGAACTGATGGGATCATGACAGAAATGTTAAAAGCAGGGGGGGATATAGTGTTGGAGTGGTTGGTACTTTTGTTTAATAAATGTATGAAAGAGGGGAAGGTACCTAGGGATTGGCGGAGAGCATGTATAGTCCCTTTATATAAAGGGAAAGGGGACAAAAGAGATTGTAAAAATTATAGAGGATAAGTTTACTGAGTATACCAGGAAAAGTATACGGTAGGGTTATAATTGAAAGAATTAGAGGTAAGACAGAATGTAGAATTGCGGACGAGCAAGGAGGCTTCAGAGTGGGTTAGGGGGTGTGTAGATCAAGTGTTTACATTGAAACATATATGTGAACAGTATTTAGATAAAGGGTAGGGAATTTTTTTATTGCATTATGGATTTAGAAAAGGCATATGATAGAGTGGATAGAGGAGCAATGTGGCAGATGTTGCAAGTATAGGGAAATAGGTGGTAAGTTACTAAATGCTGTAAAGAGCTTTTATGAGGATAGTGAGGCTCAGGTTAGGGTTTTGTAGAAGAGAGGGAGAATATTTCCCCGGTAAAAGTGGGTTTCTTAGACAGGGATGTGTAATGTCACCATGGTGTTTTAATATATTTATAATGGGGTTGTAAAAAGAAGTAAATGCTTAGGGTGTTTGGGAGAGGGGTGGGATTAAATTATGGGGAATCAAATTCAAAATGGGAATTGACACAGTTACTTTTTGCTGATGATACTGTGCTTATGGGAGATTCTAAAGAAAAATTACAAAGGTTAGTGGATGAGTTTGAGAATGTGTGTAAAGGTAGAAAGTTGAAAGTGAACATAGAAAAGAGTAAGGTGATGAGGGTATCAAATGATTTAGATAAAGAAAAATTGGATATCAAATTGGGGAGGAGGAGTATGGAAGAAGTGAATGTTTTCAGATACTTGGGAGTTGACGTGTCGGCGGATGGATTTATGAAGGATGAGGTTAATCATAGAATTGATGAGGGAAAAAAAGGTGAGTGGTTGCGTTGAGGTTATATGTGGAGTCAAAAAACGTTATCTATGGAGGCAAAGAAGGGGAATGTATGGAAAGTATAGTAGTACCAACACTCTTATATGGATGTGAAGCTTGGGTGGTAAATGCAGCAGCGAGGAGACGGTTGGAGGCAGTGGAGATGTCCTGTCTAAGGGCAATGTGTGGTGTAAATATTATGCAGAAAATTCGGAGTGTGGAAATTAGGAGAGGTGTGGAGTTAAAAAAGCATTAGTCAGAGGGTAGAAGAGGGGTTGTTGAGGTGGTTTGGTCATTTAGAGACAATGGATCAAAGTAGAATGGACATGGAAAGCATATAAATCTATAGGGGAAGGAAAGAGGGGTAGGGGTCGTCCTCGAAAGGGTTGGAAAGAGGGGGTAAATGAGGTTTTGTGGGGTGAGGGGCTTGGACTTC